TGTTGTTACCCCTTCACAGACTAAAGCTGTATGTTTAATAACAGAGCACATTTTAAGCCATAACAATTCTGAAGTTAGATTACCCCTTCTAAACAAACCAAATTACAGTAGGTTATTACAGAAGTCTGCAACTTCAGTTATCTTCTGCTTTGCTATCTTTACATCACCTCCTTCTATCACTCCAGTTAAAAGTCAATACACAATAGCAAGTATTTTTAAAAATAAGCAGGCAATTAGAAAACATTCCAAATGTATTAACCCTATTATTTATAAATATTATTTATTTAAAAGCACTGACCATTATTCTCTGCCTATGATGCACATTCTTTGTACGGCTCCTGAAATCAGCATAATCCTGCAAACTGGGGCTGCTTTTGTGCCTGTCAATTTTCTTGCTCTGATTGCCCGTTGCCTCAGTGAATCATTGTGTTTGCTGACTCTCTTATGGTAGTGAAGAAACTGCTAACCTAAGTATTTGGGGTAAGGAGTCTCAGACAAATCCGGCCACAGCAAATTAAGGCCAGTTGCAGTTTTTATGTTTACATTCAAACTACTTATGACTTAATAAGAATACATTTTGGTGTGGTGAGCTGTCATGAAATCCCAGGTGGATGTTCCAGAACAGCTTATTTGGAATCCATTTGTGTGGAGCAGAGTTCATTCATTCTGAGGAACACAACTGCACAGCCACCGAGCCACACGTATGCAGGAACTCATCCACATTTCAAAACGCTACCGTAACAAAAACCTTCTGTCAAGTCACCATTTCAAAAATGTACCTGCTCTGAATTGTACAGCACAAGATCTGAATTTCCAACACTGAATGCTAATACATAATATTTGTCATAATTTGTATTTGAATTTTTTGATATAGCACAGCTTTTTACTGCAGAATTTGTTAGCAGATGTTTAACCTTGGAGTCATTTGGAAGGGATAGACTTCAAAGAATAACTTAGAGGAAGAAGGGACATGTTGAAATAAAGATTTACAGCAGACTAAATGGGAGATGGCTTTCGGTCATGAGTAAGAGCAAAATGCACAGGGAGTAGCTACTAATTTGGGTGGGGAGATGGAGATAACAAAAAGGGAGGACGCCGGAAGGTAGGTAGGAGGCAGGCTAAATGAAGACAGAGATAGATCAAGCAAATACATAGCACCTTTAAAAAACAGTATCATGGAGCACGTAAGAAGCTTTGGAATACATTATTTTTTCCCATTTTCTTAGCTTTATGCCTTCCATTTTGTTATTAAGCCTGGTTATACTTGAGAGAATCAATACCCGAGTCATTATATCTGGCTACTTTACCACACTTCAGTTAATCCTCGTAGTATTTCCTGTATTACACACAGTAGCTCCACAATACTCAACTCACTATAGGTTAACTGTTAGGAAACACAGCCTACAGTCAGAAGTTAAACGTTTGGCAATACTTTAAAGAAAGGCATTACAACAACATCATGTGTTTTTCAGCAGTAACACATGACATTCACATAACTCATTAGCACCAACTACCCTGATGCTTATGCCTCTATTAGTGTTTCGCTTGGCAGCTGCCCGCCTCTTTTGCTGATAAACAACTGATGTGAAGTTGATGAGTTTTACACGTTCTCAGTCTACAGAGATCTGTGACTCCACAGCTACATAAACCTTACAAACCCAACAGGTTAAGCCTGGGAAAAAACCAGCAAAGATCATATTTCTCTGAATAGGTATTGTTACAATACTTCACCTTCCCATCATTACTATGACTATTAGAAATATGCTGAAAAATTAAGAAAAGAATGAATTTTAGAGGTGACTTAACCTCTTGCATAAACAGAGGATGAGGAAATCATCGTTGATGAGGAAATGGGAAGAATTTACTCCATTATCATCTATTCTGTACTTGCCAGCTGATACATTAAACGTGTCAGTCTCCAGCAACACTAAATTCAATGATTAAAGTATCAATTTGTGAGCTCTGAGCAGCTGACTGGTTTATAAGAACTAAAGAACCGTATGCCTATCCATAATGCTCATTACAATGCCAAACTCCAGGCTGTGTTAATTTTTTCCAGTTTAGTGGAATCTCTACAGTCTTCTTTGGCTAACACAGGCTGTTCTCGTCTATGGATAGGTACAGACTTTGTGGAAGCTGGGGTTTTGCAATGAGCTTGCTGAAAGAAGAAAAGAATGGATGCAGCCAAACACATCAGCAAACACCTATAGTTTAAAGAGCTACTCCTAGCAGCTTTTTCTCCAAGGTGGGTATCTATCTACTGCCAGAAAGAGAAAAAGCCTTTTTGTTTGCAAAGATCAAAGGTACTCACTTCATGGATTGAAAGGCAATAAAACATTTTTTTGACAATTTAACACCTCAAAAACAATTGAGGAGAAAAACACACCAAAAAACCCCACTGACTGTTAGAAATGTGAGACCCTGACAGTGATCATAGATATTTCTATCCATACATCTGCAGGTGCAGGAGTGGCTGACCAGACTGTAAATATCTGAAGCATCTCTGAACAAGCATCAGTAGAAAAGTGACACGTAGCAACAGGATTATTTGAGTCACATGAGCATTTTGGAATATAAGGCACCAGGTATCATTAAACAGTTGTGAACAGGAGCATCTCCAGAAGGACCGAGCAGCTCAAAGACCATGGATTTGCTTGATTCTGGAAAAACATGGAAACTGTGGTAAAGGGACAGGGAGGAAGGACTGAGGTGCTTAGATAGTATACAGTTAGAATATGCTCTAACTGAGCTCACTCAGAATATGCTCTAAGAGTGAAATATTAAGATATTAAGAGTAAAATATTAAGATATCATTCTGAAACATTACTTAACCAACACTTCTTTAACAACCGGAGGGCTATAATGCATAACTGAAGGATTTTTGTTCAGACTGTGACAACTGTACAACAGATTCTTACTGAAGACAACTGCTAGGGCATAACATCAAAAAGCAAACAAACAAAAACCCCAAACTGCCCCTTTTAAGATTTATTTTTAAATAAAACAGACAGTAAGCAAATATTCCTTCCACTCTATCAGATCCATCAAAGTTTCAAAATAGGGATGGCATCTGTGAGGTGTTTTGGTTTTGATTAAAGGTGTTTAATTATTGACTCACTGAATACGGTGAAGAAAAGACTCCTGCCAATACAGTGTCAGCAACAGCTGATACAGCTACAGCAGACCTACATGTCCCTTTGGTATGAAGCTTTCATAACCTGAACTGATCTATTCCAAACGTCAGGTGTTTAATGAAATTACTGCTGGTTGCTCTTACAAGTTTTTGTTTACTGCCCCTGCAGTAGTAAGTGCCTTTATGAGTTTACTATTCTTGACTACAGGTTCTTTTGAAAGCACAGAATTTTCCTCCTCTCAGGATTCAAGCATAAGAAATTGTCAAGAATGCTGAAATACAATATTCAAAGCTCATCTCTACGTGGTAATTTATTTCAGGATATTTTGATTGATGGCACAGACATCGGAAATAAGCACTTAGTAAGAACCGTATTGTTCTGCTGTTTTGCTGGGAATATATGGCAAAACAAATAATAAAACCCCCACAGGCTGTGCTATAATATCACATTACATAGAAACTATTTACAGAACTAATAACCCAAACTAGCAGTAAGATGACCCCGCTGTGTTGCAGAAAAGGCCCTATGGATAAACGTTGATATGTTTAGGACAGAATGAGGACTGGCCACGGGTATCTGGGTTTGGCTTCAACATTCTACAGCCTGACATTTGTAACCAACTATTATTGCTAAATTTGTGCTCCATGTAAGAGCAGGGCGATCCCGTATCAGCCAAGTTCAGGAAAGAGAAAGCCCTTGCTGTGAACAGCTGAGGATTTGCCTGTTTCACAAACCTTGGCACAAATCTACGTTCCTTTATCCCACACATTCTTATATCCACAAGGTGAAATTGTGCAAATCAGCTGTCATGATCGCTTTGCCTTAAATACTATGCTAATGAAGGTGAGGACTAATTCAGTTTTCAGATTGGAATTTCATTTTAAAAGCCAGGCTAGGAAAAATGTTCAGGAGCCATAAATTTAAAATTGGGTGGAAAATTAAATACCAGTAAGAAGAATACAAACCAGAAAAATTATTTCACCAAACAACTGCCACTAACTTTAATCATCCCTCACTAATAATATACACGTATTCATAATGCCTCCACATTAAACCACAGACAAGAATTACAATGAATATAAAATTCTGAGAGTTTAATTAGTGAAAAGCTTTTACCAGAAACAATGGTGGCTTGAATCTACGAACACACCACATGGATCTGGAAAGACCTTAATGTACGTTAAGACTTGCACTTTGCATGCCACTATGATACAGTTTATCAGACAAAATGTGGATTTGAATATTTTTATTTCTCAGAGAAATATACGCCCTGATGACAACTGCAAGTAGCCCCACATCACTAAAATGTAATGCTACAACAGGAATGTCCACCCCTAATGAAGCCACAACACACCAGACACGGACAGTCTTCAAATAAGGGCCCCTCTGGATAATCATTTCTTATTGTTAGTGAAGAACTCGTGATATAAATCAATTCCATATACTTTGAATTCCACCTTTTGTAAAGGGTGAATACTTTCCCCTCCCCATTTTTTAGTTTAAGGAAGTGTTGCCAATAATATCATTAGCAAAAGAAGGGTGGAGAAAATTAGGGTATTGCAACATTAATAAACTTTTTATTTCTGCTCATGAACTCAGTGCTTAGTCTCCTGTGAAGACACCTCAGAAACATTTGAAAAGAAGGCTTAAGACAGCATAGGGTTTTTTAGCGTTCGCTTCTATTGAAGTGAAATGGCATCTGTTTATACAACGTTAGCAATAATAGGAATTATTTTCATTTCTCCTGTTATAATACCAGCACTGGTTTTGGGGGGGGTATTTTACGATTTTTTAAATTCAGAATTGCCACCGGGAATTGGCCAACCTCTAAAGCTTCGGTTTTTCCATTCATTGTTGATTGCAACCATGATCATGGTAAGTTAACTTTCTTAAAACTGGGGATTTCACTTTTATTTTGGTAGGATATTTGGGAGCTGGGAGATAATGACTTAAGAAAAAAAGAAGCAGCAATTCACCCCCCCTGAAGCCTGTAAGCATTGTTATATGAACTAAATCATGTTAAATTAACTCATAAAACTGATATGACTAATCTGAAATGTGTATTTAGATTTTTCAGTGCATCTGTCAAACTGCAGCCACATTGGAAAAATGTTTCATGTGTAAATTAACACATATATATATACACAGTGTACTACGAACAATAAAATAAATGAAACATAAAAATGGATAGGAATGGTGAGGTCTTCTTGTGTGGTTAGTTCAGAAAGTAGGACACAGGTGTATTTAAGAATAACGTGTTTCAGTTTCGCTTATTCTTTAAAAATGCCTGTGTGTTTGTGCATTTACTCACATGATAGGGAATTTAATGTAATTCCAATATATCCATGTCCATTAACTCTATAGCATAAAGACAAAATTAAAAATCTTTCAAATGTGAAGTGGAAATTACTTATTATGGGAAAAAACATTAAAATGGGATATTTTCAGTTTCAAAAATTTTCTCCATTTTTTCCAGTTCAGGCTAATAACAAACCTACTCCTTTTTACAAACAGTTACGGGGTTGGCAAGTCATTTCTTGAATGCAAAAGTGTTACAGAATTAAAAACTATCCAGTTGGAATTTGCTCCTTCCATCTCCAAAGTTGTATGATACTGTCAGCATCATAGAATCTTGGTACAGATTTTTAGAGAGAAAAAAAATCAAGATAAACCAAGTTCTTGGTGTGTTAAATCACCTTCTAAATCTACGTATGTTAGTCTTAAAACATCAATTTCCTTGGGCTAAAAATGATCACCAAATCCGCTCCCTTACAGATAGCAAACTATTTTGATATCAGACTTCAAAACAGTTCATTTTAAAGTTATGACATTATGGTACAGCTTGAATACTATAAGGCTCTTCTTTCCTACTCAAAGATTTCTTCTTAGGGTAACGCAATTTTCTTTGTAATTTTTCAGGCAAAATATCTTTAATACGAGAAATACAAAATATCTTCTAAAATGTTGCCCTCTTTTCATGATAGCTGTAAGAAATAGAAACAAATGCTATTTGTCTTCCTGATCATGCTGTATGCCAGAGCCTATGACAATCCCATCAATTTTAGCAGAGCCAATTTTATAAACTACAGTTCTAATCCGCTTTCCTGACCCTCACATCCATGGTCGCTTCTAACACTGATTTCAAAATCAAAGATTAGTCTTCTCCTTTCCCTCGCATTTTCAGCTTAAATACATTTCTGATTATCTTTCGATTCACAAAAATAAACATGCAAAAAGAAACAACAAGCAAGACAACAACTGGCTATGCAGAATGGAGTTGATGTTACTTTTTGGCAATCTTCAGCAACATTTAATGCAATCAAAACTGCTCAATGGCTTCTCAATAGTCACGGTAACTCCACTGAAGTGCTATCTCCAGCATCTCCTGAAATACAACACAGTAAAATAAACCCAGGAATTTTTTTTAAATTAAAGAGAGTCAGAACCTTTCACACTAATCATTTGCCGAATTCTTTCTTTTCAACAGGGAACGATTTTGAAGAAGCTAGGGATCTGCAGTGATTTAAGCTTACTGCGAACTGTGCTAGATGGAATACCACCATGGAGAGATTCAAAGCTTCTTATCAAAGACCTCCTAGTAGATGAGGTACCACTGAGGATTTATCAGCCTAAATGGCCACCTGCTGGCAAAAGAAGAGGAATACTGTATTTTCATGGAGGCGCTGGCACATTTGGGAGCATTAGTAAGAAATCAGCAAGTTTTATTTTTAAAATCAAATCCAAACCTTTACATTTTTACCTTCAGACATGTCAGTCATCCTCTCACCTGTCCTTCCTGATGACAATAGTCTTTGCAATCTCAATACTAACTGCAAAGCACCTTGCGGAATTAATAGTCTAGTGCACAGTTAAGGGCAATCACATTTCTACTTCCTTTGGGCTACAAGCAGAGTTGGTGAAAGCAACTCTTAGCAGAGCTGAGGCTTCTAAATCCAGAACTGTGATCCAGAAAATGCTCAATCGGCTGTCAGCTGACGGGAGAGGGACTCTGCTCCTTCTCCTGTTGAAGATGTTCTGAGAAAGATTCAGTTTGCTGGGGCAGAGAAAGAGACCATTAAAACAAAACACATATGCTTAGGTCTCTGTAGGGGAAGTTCAGCTCAGAGGATGTTCTTGTACCTTAACTAACAGCTAGCTGAAAGTAAGATATAGCAACAGTCCTGGAGTAAGGGTTGGAATCCATGTCTCTTCCCTCCTTCTCCTCCATACTCCATCTTTTCTGGAAATGTAACTTAAAATCCTTTTAGGCTGATAGGCAACTCAGCCCAGATCTACTTTCTGGAATAACTATGGTATCATGAAAATGGCAAAGCTGTTGCTAAAACCAATACATTCTGGCTTCATTCTTTGGAACAATGCTTTGGTTACTTCTCAAGGAGAATTTTTAGTTTTGGACCTCAGCTGGGCTAAAGTGTTTCCTGTAAGCTTGGATAGGGTCTCAAAGTACAGAATTTAAGATACACTTCTGTGCTCAGTACTCAACTTTTGCCTAAAAACACTACAAAAGTCTGTATATCAAATGAAGTCTAAAAAATATAACATGGTCCAAGAAAGAATTTAAAAATACATTTTTAAAAAATCTGTAAATATATTCCCATTTATGCAAACAAGGAATCAAAATGAAGGAAAATATAAACAATAAGTGAGCATTAAAAATAGAAGCAATTTGGGGGAGTTTGATTCTTCTGGTAACACTGCACAGAATACTTTATTTCTTTTTCAGAAAGGGAGATGTTCCTTTTGGTGGAAGAAAAAAACACACCACAAAGTTGCATAGTTGTAGTTGTTGTTCACAACACAATTGCTGTTGTGCAGTCAGCACACTGAGGGAGCTGTATCACATGCCATGGCTTAATATAATACCCATACCGATACACTGGCTGTAGTACGTGACTTTTCATTTGAATTTCCATTGGAACTTGGTAACAGGAAAGCAAATAACATAATGACAAGTTTTTAAAACGATTTGGGGAATCTACATACCAGTAAGCCTGAAGTCTGCAACGAGCAAATTAGCAGAAGCTACAACGAAGAACAGAATCAGTGGACAGATAAATATGACTTACTCCTTAAAATCCGTACCAATGGAAGTCATGCTTCACAAATCAATGTAAGCTCTTTAAATGAGTCAGCAAATACATTAATAAAGGAGACTTGAGTTGATAAAACCTACTTTGATTTCCAAAAGAGTCTCTTAAAGAGGCTACACCCCTCTGACACAAGAGGGAAGGCCTTTCATTTGGATAAAAACCAATTAAAAGACAGAGAAAAGATGGGTTGTGGGAGGTTCCCATGAGATTGCCATAAGGAGATCTGTGCTGGGACCTGTGCAAATCAATATATTCAAAACCAGAAAAGATGGTGAAAGCTGGTACGATCCTAAGTCCTTCAAGGTAATAAGTGGAAAAACTGCAGAATGTCTTTATGATAGTGAAGGATTAGACAATAAAACAACAGGTGAAATGGTGTGTAGAGAAGTCAAAGAGATGAACAGAGCATTCTACCTTTACAAATAAAACAATGGACTCTAAGCAGGCTACTCCCTTGCAGGAAGAAGATCTTGGGATTATGGTAGAAAATTGCCTGAAAATGTTGACTTGGTGCACAGTAGCAGTCAAAAAGCAAATAAAAAGCTAGGAATTATTATTAGTAATAAATCCATGGTGCACCTAAATATAGTATACTGCTTATATATTATATATTGTGGTTCCCATACCTCAAAAAGGCTATAGCAGTACTGGAAAGACTCAGAGGGAGGCTGCATAGGTGAGAAAGTGCTTCTGTACAAGAGAATAAGCAAAGAGACGATGACTCCTCAGTCTGGAAAAGACAGATAAAGACAGTTAGATTAAATGTCTACAAAATCATGAGAAGCAAGAGAAGTTAAACACGGAATGATTATCCACCATTTCTTACAGTACAAGAGTTAGTGCCACCAAATGAAAGTAGCAAACACCGGGTACAAAACGAGCAAATAGAAATGGTTCTTTACTCCTTTGTAAGCAAGCTATGGAATTCTTCACTGCACAAAGTTGTTAGCATTAAAATCATGGGTTCAATAAGTGGTTAGAATAATTTAGGGAAGAAACTAATGTTTAATTAGTTAATTAATTAAAGACACAGTTTCTGTCTCAAAGGAGTGCCCTGAGCCTCAACTTCTTGTAATGCTAATTACTCTATGCTTGTCCTCAGCTTACGCTTCTCCTTAGACGTCTTTTGTTGAGTGCCAGCTGAGACGTGATACCAGTCTAGCCAGACTTCTCTTTTTCCTGGTATTACCATTCTTACATGCTTATGTTATGCCCTAACAGTCACTAACCAATAACCAGAAAATATGTTAACATGTAAAGACCGCATTGCATAAGTTACTCATCGGTCTTGTGTTGCAGTGCCTTCCACAGAGCATATGTTCAAGGATCTATGCTTTCATTTCAAAAGGATATTTGATTTTTAAAACACCATTTCTGATAAACTTTCTCTTTAGGAGCCTTTGAAAGAATATGCCGCTATATTGCCAAAAAATGCAACTCAGTGGTTGTGTCTGTTGGGTAAGTGCTACTTTTACATAGAAGTATTTATGGTAATACAGTTCACAGTTGAAACATTTCTGGAAAATATGCTGAAAATATTTACTATTTTAGATTGTGCTCCCTATTTTTCGCTTTACCCTTTCATTTACTTTAGAAATGTGCTTATAGGCAAAGTATTCTAAAATAGCTGTAACACCATGAGTTAAAAACAAATATAATCTTTAAAAATTAGGAAAAAAAGGCCTACATAACTACCATACCAGTCAATCATGGACAAGCAAATTAAATGTTTATAATTACTTTGACAATAACCATGATATCCTTGACATTTCAGTTACCGTTTGGCTCCTGAACACCCATACCCAGGACAATATTACGATTGTCTCAATGCCACCTTATACTTTATGAGGAATTTAGAAGAGTATAATGTGGATCCTGCTCTCATCATCATTAGCAAAAGAGATCTCCCAAAAGTACGTGCTCAGGTCTTACTTTATCCAGGACTACAGGGGCTAGATTTTCATTTGCCTTCCTATCAACAGAATGCTTCAGTCCCCATCTTGTTTCGGAAGCTAGTCATCTACTTCTGTTTTCGTTACCTTAATAAAGAACCATCAGGTTTGGAAGATGTTCTACAAAATTGCCATGTTCCTGAGAGTATGAAACAGAAGTATAAAAAATGGATAAGTGCTGACATTATTCCTGATGAATTTAAGATTAGAGGCTACGTACCCCAGAAATCCACTTCATTTAAACCTGAGGTCCATGAAGCAATCAAAGAAATTTTAGCAATAACTTTTTCCCCACTTTTAGCTGAAGACTCCATTATTTGCCAGCTTCCTGAAGCCTACATTGTGACCTGTGAGTTTGATGTGCTTAGGGATGATGGACTGTTATACAAGAAGCGATTAGAAGACAATGGTGTTCAAGTGACCTGGTATCATTCTGAGAGTGGTTTCCATGGAATTTTAGCCTTTTTTGGCTATGGGATTTTTTCCTTTTTGTCTGGAAAAAAGATAATGGATAGCACTGTCAATTATATAAACAGTTTATAAAAGTATTTTTCAGAACAAAGATGCAAGTCTTACATTATCCTTGGCTAATTTATACTTGACAAAGAATGTAAACACATTTGATTTATGTTTTGGATTTTGACTGCTTTTTGTACTTTCTAATTTCTGCAGTGACTCTCAAACAAATGCTAAGATTATTTAAAGCACCACCATTCTAGACATTATTATAAAAACACAGCAATAAGATTGAGATGCAAAAGCGAGGCACCTGGCACATACGGCTTTGCTTCAACTCTAACAATTCTAGTATCTTTGCACGGCTGGCACACATTCAAGGCAAGCAGCAAGAACATCTCTTCCTGAAGATTCTTCGACTGCCCAGAAATGCTGAAGACAACAACCGGTGTCTACTTTGGCCCTTGTGAGAGCCAGGAGGTGTTTAGGGTATCAATCAGGTGGCTCAGGTTCTGTGAAGTTTTATGTCAGATAATGAAATTGCAGCTATGCTTTTTAATTTCTAGGGTTAGTTTGCACAAAGACTATTTTCTTAAAAAAGTGTAGTCAAAAGAAAGGCTCCTGTCTGAAGCAGAAGTTCTAAACTGGAACTGGTATGGGTTTGATTTTGCTTGGAATCTGAGAAATGATGTTTCGTTTTGGAACCTGATTCTTAAACTGGAATCCTTAAACTTCAGTGAGTGTGTACATGTTAGGGAAGCGCAGAGGGGAGACTTCTTTTCCTTTTTGTACTCTTTGTTTTTCTTTCAATATTGTCTTATGCTCAAGACTACCTGTTATGCTGTTTGTTGAAAAAAGTTCTGAAGATCACAGATGTGAGAAGGTAGAGAAACACAACATTATATTATCTTATCACTGTAATGCTGTGGCAATTCTGTGATGCTTTCAACAACAACAAAAAAAACGCTGGTACTTCAGATATTTCTGTTACAAGAGCAACTTGCATTTGCTAAACACATACTCACTGACAAACCTAAATTAACACCTTGTGGTGAAAGGAACAGTGCAACACTGGCAGAGAGAGACCACAGTCTTGCTAATTCTACCTAGTCAAACTTGTGCTGTACACAGTAATTACCAGAGGACTGGACTGTTCAAGACTACTGTGTCTGATCACATAACTGTGGAAACAACATGAACTGGAAGTCCAGAAACACCATTAGGTGGGCTTTTTTTTTTTTTCATCTAGACTTTTGCTGTTTTTAAACAAGATATCTCCTTCTACTTCAGAACATTTTATGATGACCACATGACCTATTAAAAATATTCAGCTTCTCACTGGAAAAAAAATAATTTCATTTCTTATAAAGATTTCTAACTAAAATGGCGTAGCACTTTCTCCCAAGCACTTACAACTTACCTTAAAAAAATAGAAATTATAACACAGCTGCTTAATGAAATTAGATTTTTATGTCTTTCATTTCCTTGGGAATTTGCAATTTCAACAATGTTCTGACATCCTACTTCTGAAGTTTGAAGAGTTGCAGACTCAGATTCACAATTAATACCTCAAGCATCATTTAAACTACAGCATCTCTAAATTGGCACAATCCCATTCTACAGCAAGAATGAGATAAAGCAATTTGATTTTAAATTCTTTAATTGCTGATTACCTTAAGTCATTGTATGCCGTACCTGTTGCACACTGAGAGTTACTGAAGTTTACCTGATACGAGGGAATCTGATCATGAATCTAAACTCAGCCTCTCTGGGCTTTTTTAACCATGTTTTTCTTTCAGAAGAAAACACAAATACTAAAAAACCTGAGACTGATGTAATGATATAATTTTATAGGTGCACCTTTCCAAAAAAACCCACGGGTGACAATCCCTTTGGCCCTTTAGAGTGATAATCATCACATGCAGGCATAAGCCTAGAGAAACTCTTTTGCTGAATAGTGTTTTATAGTGTCACAAACTCAAAGTACACAAATGCCGTTTCCATTTTCCACCTCTAATTAATTTAATATTGATGCAGTTTATTCATAACACTCTTCTCCCAGCTGAGGACTGGTTTCTTACAAAAATTCCGAAATTATGCTGGCGTAGATCTTTTAATGAATTTCGGACTTTGACCAACTTCTCTTTTGTGAAATAGAGCAGAGAGTGGGAAAGGGAAAGATATCTACTAATGTATTTGTAAAAGGGAGGAGAAAGGTTTTTACTAGAACAACCGTATGACGAACAAAGAATCAGGAAGTAACAAGCCAAAGAGATCTGGGAAAGTCAAATCAAAGACATTTCAGACCACACTGCTGCTCAGCAAAATGGCAGTTGTTTACACACTGCTGGTGTTATTCTTAGCAGTTTTTGTTGCTGGATTTATATTGTTGGTCATGGGGGCAATTAATTTTGATTTCTCCAACTCAGAAATTCCTCCTGGAGTGAATCAGCCTGTAAAGCTCCGAATCATTCACGTAATTTTAATAAGCAGAGCTGTGGTGGTAAGTTAACCTGGTGTGATTTCTGGGGGAAGAACAGTGAACGTGTAGATTTTAAACTTAATGCAATGCTAGAACCCTGCTTGGAACTGATTTTCAAAGAGGTGAGCAAGGCATAGCTATCATGCCGTGTGTTGTATTTAGGAGCTTGGTTTTGCTAAAAGAAACCTGTACCAGATTTTTTACACTAACCTGCATTATTACAGTCCTGCCTAGCTCTTACATTAGGCAGTATGTAAATGCTGCCTAACACAAGGATTTGAAAGTCTGACTGTGCTTCTACAAGGAATTGTGCTAACCTAGCAATAATTTGATTAAGAATGCTTATATATGTTGGATCATTTATATTTCCATTCTAGGCTCAGAATATATCAGATGTCTTTGGGCCATGCTTTCAAGCTTTTCTTGGACTTGGGGATGAGGAATTATGTATTGATTTTGAAGATAAATTTAGAAACTGAACATTTCAGAACTGGTTTTGGGAAGGGGGAATTTTTGTCACACACGTGACAAAATTAGGTAACATTTCCCAAGAGGAGCTGAAGGAATTCCACGTCCCCTGAAGACATTTTTGTAACTCCTGCAGATACTAAGCAGGCTTGTCTGATGGGAATGAAGGGTTCTGGCCAGCCCAACGTCTTCAGGTGAACTGGCCTGTGAAAGAGTGGGAAGCTAACCAGTCCACAAGAGTCGAAGCTCTTACCAGCACTCATCTGCTGGTGATCTCTGCTGATGAAGCATCTCACTGAATCAGGAGTATTTCCGTGTAATGATGCTGTGATGAAAGGTGTGAGAAGCATACGAGATAGCAGAAGTTGCACACATATTTAATAAATTACTGTCCTCGTTTCAGCTGGCACAGAGTTGATTTTCTTCCCAGCAGCTGGCATAGTGCTGTGTTTTGGATTTAGTATGAGAAGAATGTTGATAACACACTGATGGTTCAGTTGTTGCTAAGCAGGGCTTACACCAGGCAAGGAGTTTTCTGCTTCCCACGCTCTGCCAGGGGCACAAGAAGCTGGGAGGGGACACGGCCGGGACAGGTGACCCCAACTGGCCAAAGGGCTATTCCAGACCATATGGCGTAATGCCCAGTATATAAACTGGGGGGAGTTGGCCAGGGGGGTAGTGATTGCTGTTTGGGGATGGGATGGGCATGAGTCAGTGGGTGGTGAGCAATTGCATTGTGCATCACTTGTTTTGTGTATTATTTAATCATTATCATTATTATTATCATCATCTTCCCCTGCTGTTCTGTTAAACTGTCTTTATCTCAACCCACGGGTTTTACTTTTTTTTTCCCCGATTCTCTCCCCCATCCCACTGGGTTCGGGGGAGAGTGAGCGAGTGGCTCCATGGTGCTTAGTTGCCATCTGGGGCAAGAACTACAGTTCTTTTTGGCACCCAACGTGGGGCTCAAACCCATGACCCTGAGACTAAAAGCCCCAAGAGGGAAAAACTATTTAAAATTTTAAAAAAAAAAAAAGAAAAAAAAAAGAAAAAATCTCTTTCAGAAATATTCTAGATTATAGTGGCCCATACTAAAGAATTCTGGCTATACATTCTCATGCTTTGGCTGCACACAAGTTGTAATTACAAAGTGATTACTTCACTTTTAAGCAGCTAGAAAAGCCAGTTCTCTACTTATCATCTAGACACTGTCCCTTAGTACCATAAACCAGAATTGTGCGCTGCAACGTAAACAACACAGGATGAAAGAGACCAAACAAGTGGAGAACATTATAAATAGCTGGAGTCACTGAAGAAAAGGTCTTTCATAGGAAAATATATTGAGTGATAACACTGTAGTGACAATCCATACAAATGTGGCAGTCTAATAAGAAATATTGATAGCAAAATATTAAATATTAAAAGCTTGATCCAAATCTTCATAAGGACCGAAGTACTGGTTTGGCATGACTAAATAATGTATTCCAAAACAGAGGTTATGCCTTTTTTGCCAAGTTATGTTGGACCAGTAGCTCTCATTTGTATTCTTTTCATCTTTTGGTGCCTGGCATGCATATCACCATGGCATACAGAACAAACAGAAATTTAGGCCTACTAAATATCTGGGTATCTTCTTGCCAGTGCATTGCATGCATCAGTGAAGACTTCTAAGACAAATCAAAAAGCAATTATCAAATATATTCTCAACTTAGTCAACTCTTCTTTGGTCAAGTGTCCATATAATGAAAAACAGCACCAGAACTATCATCTCACTACGTTTTCACATCTCCTCAGGGGCAAGGACAGAATAACCAGTGAAAACCAAACTTGTTTTCAATGTTAGGTAAAGGACCCGCTGAGAAAGCAAAGGGATATATTTCACCAGTCTTCCTTAATATTGCATTGTTTTGGGAATATGTTCTTTGGTGAACACTGCTGTTCATGTGACCTCTCATGATGCTACTTGTTCAGCTGTACTATACTTGTACAGCTGCTCAAGTATTTTATGATTGCCCTGAAATATACAACTTAGACTTCACGAGTATACTGCCCATACAGTTCCTTTACTTTGGAAAATACAGAATCTCTTGAGTGAACTCCCTATTCTCTTTGCCTTTGAACAGGGAAGGATTTTGGAAAACATTGGCATCTGCAGTCAGGTTAGCTTTGTCCGGTACATGCAAGGTAGAAAGACTCTAGGAGTGGATCCGAAGCTCTTCATCAAGGACCTGTGCTTCGAGAAAGTGCCTGTAAGGATTTATCAGCCTAAGGTTCCATCTGCCAGCCAAAGGAGAGGAGTTATGTTCTTCCATGGAGGAGGATGGGTATTTGGAAGTCTCGGTAAGATATCTAACAGAAAAAATATTAAAATTTAATTAAAGAAGTATTTATTTCATAAATGGTAATGTTGATTGTCACTTGATCTGTAGCAGTTAGGAAGTTCAAGTATAACCAGATATGTACTCTCCTATGTCTTGCTGTCAGAAGAAAGCATCTGCTGTGCATTTTGTGCATGTTTCTTAAAGACAAGGATGATGAGATATGAGGGGGAAAATACAGTAAGCAAATACTGAAATAGGAAGATGAAGGGGTACAAAAGATCTGAGGAGCTATGTAGGAAGGGGCAGAGAAAAGTCGAGAGTATTTTCTTCTTGAAATTCTTTGACTTATGCAATAGACATCATTAGTACTCTGGCAAAAAACCAAACCAAACCAAAACCAAAAACAAACCACAAACCCCCTAAATATGTTTCTTTCAGAGACCCACGAAAAGCTATGCCGCTCTATTGCCAGAGAAAGTGAATCAGTGGTTGTATCTGTTGGGTGAGTCTTTCCTCATGCTGTTTTTTAGAGATTATTTCCTACAGTGTAAACATCACCTTAGAGCTTCCCTGATCATAGCAACCACTATTCTCAGAGAAATGTTTCTGTGGGACTTGACAATCAATGTTTTCAAATTCTGAACTCAAAATTTATAGTAAACAGATAGTTAGCTATATATCTACTTAATCTTTATTCAAGTAAACTCTGCTTGATGCTTATAGAAGGTCTATGTGAATGACAGGCTAATATCATCAATATACTGGCATAGCAATTTGGATTATGAGGATATGGTTGCACTATAACAAAGACATAAAACAGAAGTACTGTCATTTGTATCCGACACATGGAAAGCTAAAGGATAAACTGACTAAATGACTGTCAATAAAACCTAGACAAAGTTGGCAGCAGAGTACTCTGTTGTTAAAGACCTGAGAAACCTCCTAAACAGATGATATTCTAACAAGCTAATCTGCACCACCTGGTCCAAGTAGCCACAATTTATTTATGACAACTCTGTGGAGAAAGGAAAAATTCTGAGGGGTATTCCTGGTTGCAGGAACCGGTATTTTCAGCAATACATTTAAAACCAGTACTTCCCTCTTGTACTTTTGTTGTCTCCTTTTGTGTATCAGGTATCGTTTAGCTCCTGAACACAAATCCCCTGCTGCCTATGAAGACTGTCTTAATGCTACCATACACTTCATGAAGAATATCGAGCACTACGGGGTGGATCCTGCCCGTATAATTGTCTGCGGGGACAATGCTGGGGGCAATCTCGCAGCGGCTGTTACCCAGACCCTTGCAGGGAGATCAGACCTCCCCAGACTACGTGCTCAGATCTTGATTTACCCAGGCCTTCAGGCACTGGACTTCAATTTGCCATCCTATCAGCAGAATGGGGGAGTCCCTCTCTTATTCCGAGAACGTGCTGCTTTCTACGTGTTACAGTACCTAAATGGGAATGCATCAAATCTGGAAGAGGTCCTGGAGGGTTCCCATATTCCTATAGATATTAAATTAAACTATAGGAAGTGGGTGAGTCCAGATAACATCCCCGAAAAATTTAAGGTCAGAGGCTACAAACCACATGTGCTACTTGACTGTACAACTGAAGTTTATGAGACAGTGAAAAGATTCTGTGAGCCCAACTTGTGTCCACTGTTGGCTGAAGATTCTATTGTTCGGCAGCTGCCCGAGTCTTTCATCTTGACTTGTGAGTACGATGTGCTGAGGGACGACGGCTTGCTTTACAAGAAGAGACTGGAGGACAACGGTGTTCGAGTGACCTGGTACCACCTCGAGGATGGATTCCATGGAGTCATAAATTCATTTAATAGTGACTGGTGGTCATTTTCATCTGGAAAAAGGGGTCTTGACAATATCATAAACTTTCTAAAAAGCTTATAGAAACAAATTTCTTTCTTTCTATAAGAACGGCCAATTTTCTGTGGTCTTTTATGCTTCTAAATTCCATGTATGAGGTTTAGATAGGAAAATTTGTGAATAAGCAATTATGCCAGTGTGACCACTGAAAAAGATATTTCAGGAATTCTATGAAAGTTTCTTTTAGTGCTGTCTGAAGTATTCCATGCGCAGTCTGCCTATTTTAATGATCTATTTGGACTAGGCACTTGCTACTCTCTTGGTAAATATTAAAGATGCAGTAAAATTTTAAATCAACATCTGGTCTGACCCATTTTATTCAGTTATGATCTATGCTTTCATTCTTCCTAGAAGGCTAAGTGTGTTTTGGCAGAGAAAGATACTGATACTACAATTCTGTAACGCAGTGCCTGTGCTATATGTTACACATACCATCTGTGTCTAAGGTTCCCAGTCACCGACTTGCAGAAAATGTCTATGGGCTAGGTAACTGGTATTTTAGACATGAAAAAATGGAGTTAAACCTGCAGCTGTCCCCAACAGAGATACTCTATTAACAGCTTTGTGTAAATTGCAATGGAGGAAATGCTCTAAGTGTTTTCCTGTGTTTATCAAAGATATGCATATGCTGAAAAACTTGTCCCTGTGCTTAAATACTCTAGCAACAAAATAAGATTAATGCATTTACTTCTGTAGAGCACACATTAGCTTTTTTTTTTCTCATGTGAGTACCTGTTTTCTTTTCTAAATGTCCTTGTTAAAACTACATATTCCAAACTACTTAAAGAATGCCCACAATTGAGGAAGCAATATGTTGTGGCTGCAGATCAGATGCGGAGGCAATTTAATCTCCACAGCAGTTGGCTCTCCTTGTAAATAGCAACCTGCCATAAACTAGAACTTCATTCAGTACTTAACCACTAGTCTCTGAACAGTCATCCATATAATCCGCAATCCAAGAATACCATGCAGAACATCAGGCCTTGTATCAGTCCCACAATTAACATGGAGCTAAACAGGAAATAACACATTCTCCTCTGCCGCTCCTCCAACGTGACGTGTGCCGGCACCTTGCACAACATTTCCAAAAACTTTAAAGTGTGTGGCAGCTGAGAGATCTGTTGTAAATTGGACTGCTCTAAGGTTTACTGTTATCTGGGAAAGCTAAATCAAAGATAGGCGTAAAGACACCTCACCTTTGGTTAAATGAAATGGCATTTTTTTATATACTGACAGTGATACTGCTGGTGATTTTTACTGCTTCATTCATCCTAGTGATTATCACAATCATTCAATCTGAGTACTCCAATTTCAGCATCCCTCCTGGAGTGAATCATCCTGGAACACTTCGAATTGTCCTTGCTTCTATGATTAGTACATCTGCTATGGTGAGTTACTTTGCCATGATTTCTGCCAGAAGTGTGGTTTAGGTGTCATTTGTGTAAGGTTATATATGTAAATACCAGACTCCTGCTGGCTGCATCAAGATTTAAATGAAGACTTCCCTTTTTTGGGGGATGACTTTAGAGGCCAATTTTTGTGAAAGCATTTCTGTTAGACCACATAGTTTCAGTCAGGTTTCCGCTCTTACACAGGGATGATGCCAACCACAAGTCCAAGCTTTACCACTGCACTTCTCTAATTCACTTTAAATTATTTATAAAAAGTGAGATTGCTTTGATTTCCATTTTAGCTAAGCACAGATGATGTTTTTAGGCCATTCTGGGGGCTTTCCACTAACACTGATGGAAGGCTGGGTGCTTCTTAAGCAGACAAAACTGGAGACTTATGGGAAACCTTAGAGGAACATCTGGGTTGTGAGCCCGTAAGTGGTGGGAAGCTGGTCTGAAACCAAATGACTTGGTGATGCTGAGAAGAAAACATCTCTTGTAATCCCCTAAGACATTTTGCCTGACAGAGCATGAGTTGGACGCATGGGCCTACCTGCTCAGGCACACGGTGCCAAAGCAACCCCGCTCGCCCAGGCACGTGGCTGCACAGGGGGCTGCCACGGCTCCATCTCCTCCCGTGCCAGATCTCTGGTGAGGACCAAAGCACAGCAGCCATTACAGGCGAGGGTAGAGGCGAGCAGCTCTGCAGCAAGCTGAACCCCGCCAACACGAAGCCTGGGTGCCCCCTCAGGCCTCGCAGCCGCCGGGGGAAGGCAGGCACGGGGTCTC